TTTTATACCACATACTGCACTTCATGCAGCAATCACCTACCTCAAAAGCACCTTTATTTTCTCTGTACAAACTAATTACTCAATTCTCTATGTCCATTTTATATGCAAACGGTATAAATTATAAAAATTTTATCATGCTCTGTTACAGAATACAGCTAGTAGAATTAGTAAAACAAAACTCTGCACATTATTCATAATTATAATTTCACAAAAAAAATTAAAAAAAAAAAGATGATTGCTATTTTGAAAGCATATTCATTTGTCTTGCTCTGAACATCTGTTTTACACAGCAAATTAGCTTTTTCACAAAGAACTTCTATATAAAAATGACACATTTTTGAGAATTACTTCAAAATTTTGCACTAGATATATTTTTTGAATGATAATGCGAAAATTAGACCATCAACGAAAACTAGTAACAAATGAAAAACAGAAAAACTGACTATGAAGCAGTAAAAAATTTCAATTTAGAATGAAATACATAGTGAAGAAATACTATGAAAAGTATTCCCATTCTATTTTTTCTTCGATAGACTAGAACAAATCTAAGAATTCGTTCACTGATCTTTCAAACATGAAACTTACAAGCAAGAAGAGAATAGCCTGAAAGCAAACAATGAAATGCACTTAATACATTATTAGATATAACGAAAAAGTAAACTTTTTTCCAGTCATCATAAGGTGATAATAATTTCATGCTATTCTTTGATTCACTCTTTCCGATACTACACAAAATTAAGATATAGGCACTACCAACGAACCACAACTTCTCTCATCGCTATCCTCAAATGAAGAACGCATACTATAATAACGCGAATCATTATCAATCAGTGATGGTGACACTTCTTTCTTTATACCGAATTTTGAATTTGACGTTCGAATACGAACAATATGCTTTTCAATAGCTCCTTGTTCACGCTTTTTTGCCTCTTCCTTCAGAAATTTAGCCTTTTCAGCTTCGGCACTATCTACAGAACGATTCAAAGTACGCAAAACCCGTTTTGAGTGCAGCACCTTGGTCCTAACGGCACTATTGATCATTGAAAGCCGATTTGAGCGCTCTGAAAAATCAAATTATCATATTTTATAAAATTAAACAAAAAAAATAAAAGAAAAGGCTTTTATTTTAAATAAAAAATATTCTCTCAAGAATTAGTGACAGTAATCGGTTGCAAATTTAAAATGTTCTACTACTTCTGACAAATGCTATGAATCAAGATAGAATTTTCAGAATTAGCGTGATGACCGAAATTATAAATTTCTTAAGCGTAAGCCAAACTTCTACTTGAAAAAACAATAGGCTAAAATTTATCAAGAACGAAGTCAATTTATAATTAAAAAAAGCCAACCATTATTAGGGTTCGAATTTAGTGGAGTACTGGATACAAAAGAACCAGTACCAAACTGTTCATAATAACTACTATTATTTATCTCATTTAAATCTATCCGCCGTTTTCTTCCCTCCACATAAGACTCGACTTTTTTCTTGCTTCCTGGTAACTTTGGAATTTTGTTATTTGTTTTCTTCAAAGAACTGGTATGTAAACATGTATCATGAGGCGAATCTGATAATTTTGAGTGAGCAGTGAATCCATTCATTGGTGAAAAACAGGAGGATATAGTACTATCCGTTTCAGATTTCCAATCAGTATTCGATTTTGGTGTATTCTGGAAATGATCCCACAGTGTTTCTTCAAAATCTGAAGCAGACGAAGCTATACTCATGTCATCCTCCGGATATTGATCAGTCAAAATCGACAGATTTCTTCGATCACAGTTTTCTTCTTTTGCAGCAACGCCTTCATCCACAGCATTATTCAGCAAAATCTCACCAACATGCAAATTTTCTGCGTCTGCAGATACTTTTTTCCGAGGTTGTGGCAGTACATGTGGATCAAGTAGATAAATCGTAACAGATTGTTGTTCTTCTGTATCGGAAGAGTTAAGACACAATGCATTTAATTTACGATAAATTTCTGAAAAGAAGAAAAACAAATAAAGAACAATAAATGATTAGATATAGAAATTTTGTTTGTTCTTTTATACTAATGTCGAAGATTTTTCAAAACAATTCTTCTAAATTTTGGTTTTTATCTGTAATTTTTTTACTAACGTAAATCATAATATGCTTATTATAGTGGTTAAATAAATTAAGCTATAGAAGATGCTCGCAGAAAAATGGAAGTACTTGCGTTATGTACTTTTATTACATGAATCTGTGGTTTTCTTAGTTAAGAAAATGTGCTAATCATGTCACTTTCAAAACAGTATTTAATTAATGTATGACAGAGACAGGATAAATTGAATGTGAACCAATGATTTAAAAATATGCCTTTGTCATGTTGTTGATCCTCCTTATTACGAAAATCAGTAACGTAACGCATAAATTCATAAAAAGCACGAAACAAGGAAATAATCATCTCAAACAACGCGGAGTAAAATCACTTTGATTTTTTTCTGAAAATTATTCAAGTACGTCAACTACTAGAACAATAAATCAATAGTCCCCGAAAAACGTGAAACTTAAAACAAAAATTTGGACACTAATCTAGTATGGAAACTGAAAAAGCTAGGTCACAAATTGATGTCTAGTTACTTAATATTTACACAGACGTAACTCGCAAGCCACGAGAAAGACGAGAGCAACTCTACTTAAAGACATAAAAATCCGTAAAAATGCAACCAATTCATATTTTAAAGAAACCGTTAGCGCTGATTGCATAAAATTCGGGCATACAGAGGACCAGTAAGCGATCTTTGTTGATATACAATTTTGAGCATCATATTGCTGGCTTCATTATATTTTGATGCTCTAAAACTGTACTTAGGTCAAGCACGTTAAGATGGGTACACTACCGTTTAACAGTGATATTGCAATGATCTCTTTTCTGTATGGATCTCATACTTTTGACCCCAATATCAATGACAAAAGTCGTACAAGATTTCATCCTATACTATCATGTGATGTGTTGAATATAACTTTTTGATTTCTGGGTCTGTTACATATAGCTTTGTAATTTTTGTATATCCTGTACACTGTGGTATTCTATCTGTCACATTTAGTACTAATTACCCATACTTCAATGTATTTATATTACAGACTACTGTCAAAGATTTGACTTCTGCGATTGTTTCATTGTCAGCCTCAGTCAGTGAAGAAATTGTTAAATTTCTGTAGCAGAAGGAAAACTTGTAATATATAAGTTTATTATTTAATAAAAACATCTTCACACCAAATTCACATCTTCTCGATGGTCTTCAGTCCTAATATATAGAAACAATCAGCCATCACATTAGCTGTCACTTGACACAGAACTAGTCGGTGGTAATGAATTGTTGTTGTACCTAAAAAACCATTCTAAAACGTGGGCAGAATTTATTATATTTAAGAGAGATGTACTTGCTTTGCAACATTACACTAGTTACATGCAGAATATGGTTACAGTTTACATATAAAGTGAATTACTTTAAACTTTCTTGATAAAAGCACTATATTAAGAAGTAAAAATAGAAGAATAAAAATATACCTACAAAACATTACTGTGATTTCGGTTTATGTTTTCTTAAACTATGAATTTCCTTATATTCTCTAAGGCTTTTAGTAATGTTCGTGAGTGACAATAACAAACGTTATACTCATTTTGTGGAAATTTAAAAGTCTTTTATCTGATAAGATAGAACACATACCATCAACATCTTTTTGAATTACATAACATTCGTTGTAAAAATCATGGAACGTAGTTGCTAATGCATAAATGTAGTCACAAAGCTGCAAATTTATAATTGACCAATAAATCATGTCAGGTAAAATATACAACAGGATTTGTCTTTATACCACTGAATCACGATAAAAAACTGAGTACACTGACAAAATGACTTACCTGATGTAGCAAGAAACTATCTAGTACACTTAAGATGCAATCACTGAATTTCAGAATTGCTTTTGCCAATTTAAATTCTGATTCATGTTCAAGAGGAAGAGAACCATTTGGCAAATTGAGTAAATAATTTTGCACATCTTCTTGCGGAACAAGAGTGCTGCGACAAATAGATCTAGAAATATTGAAGTTAAAGACAACACAAGAAATTACTTTCAGTGGATATCTCTCTCTATTTGTAATCTGTATTGGGAAGGTGTATTTCATATTTGAGATGTCACATACTTGTCAAAATAGAATTATTGGAGGTTATAAAGCACACCAAATTATTAAAGGAAACTGACTTGATCCTTGCAAAGGCGTAAAGAAGGTAAACAGCAGTATTGCCCCGATCATCTAACATCTAGAATAATTTTATTAACATAGCTGTTGTTATAATTCGAAGAATGAATGAAATTCGAAAAGATTTGTAACTTTATTAAAATTATTACAAATCATACCCGGTCAAAAGAGAAAACATAGTCCTGAGTTCTAGTTTGCGACAAGTCAGCATATCTCACGCAACCATATGCTACAGCATTACGAGCTGAGGCTAATTCTTCTGCAGTCATTGTCTTCAAGAAACAATAAGAATTCAGAACATTTTCATTCATATGTGAAAATTTAACGTTTTGCAATTAATTAACCTTATCTCGTTCCTTCTCTCGTAGTTTAGCTTCTGCTCTTTTCACACCTTCATCCAGTAAATCTGACAATCGAACTGTATCACCAGATCGCGTTTTAAATTTCTTTCTAAATTATCATATTTAAGACGCTAACTTATTTGATTAAAATGCTCAATTATTTTCCATTAATGCATGGTCAAATTAATTGCTTTGAAAGTATTACCTTCTAGTGAGTTTAACTCTATAAAGTAGTTACTTCCGAATGAAGATTCTGCCTCCGCATCAATAACATATATGATCCATTATGCTTTATCAATAATGAAAAACAGCTCAAAAATTCAGATGGGAGTACAAGAAAGTCAATTAGAATCTTAACTTACTTATCTTCACCAAGCACTAGACCAAAACTGACATGTTCAACTCGTGTTTTATCTGATGAATACCAACCGAGTTTTCGACCAGCAGCAAATACCAACTAAAGAGTAACAAAAATTTTTCTGATAGCCTATTATATAGAGCAATTAAAAATAAGTTATTGGAGCAATCCGGGTTCATTAGACCTTCTAATGAGTTTAACTCTTTAAAGTAGCTACTTCGAAATGAAGATTCTGCCCCGCGTCTACAACATATATTATCCATTCTGCTTTATCAATAAACAACCGATATTTCAAAGCTGCCAAATCAGAAGTGTCATAAGTGTAACCACCATCTGACTTCACGACAGTAAGCGGAACTCCATCACCAACTCGCAAAATCTTTCGCCCATCTTCAACTTCTAGGACACCTACAGCTCACTGACGCTTATTAAAGCAATCCAATTATCAAATTAAGTTGTTTCTGCCATTCAAAAAAAAAACGCTATTTTCAATACCACCTTAGATTCCATTCATGGCTAACATATCCTACAAAATGCCATATTATCTACGAAAACTCATTTTAAAAAATCGAAACTACCTAAACTGTCAAGCTCATTAACAAGGTCAATCATATGACCCTGATAAAACGATTCGCCTCGTTCTTCAATATTTATCTCCAACCGATCATAAATTTCATTAAAATTTTTCCGAGAAACATCACAGATCATTCGCCATGCCTTCACATAATCAGGTTCAAAACCTTGCAGCTTCACGACACACTGATATGAACGAGCCTTGAATGCTTCATCTTCATCAAAACGTTTTTTCGATTCCTTAAATACAATACGTAATACTTAAAACAAACACTATTCAATAAAAATCAAACTTTCGACAGTAGTTATGCTAAATGACTTTTTCGTGCAAAAGTGATTAAGTATAGTCATTCTAAAAAGTAAAATGATCATACTGAGAGCCACAACTTCGTCCTACAGAGTTTTGATAATGAGATTAAATAAATAAGACAATTAAATAAAAATTTTTTTTAACCTTGTAAAAGGTTTGCAAATCCGAAATAGGTGGTACTTCATTGAGAAAATTAGGAAAACGATCTTGCAAATGAGCAATTAGCATACCGAACTGCGTACCCCAATCACCTATATGATTCAATCGAAGAACCTTGAAAACAATAAATATTTCAAGTAAAAAGTATTTACAGAGCTAAATTTTCAGCGATCATTCCTCGCATGAATTTTAAATTAAAGCAAGGATGGTTTATCTATAAAAATCAATGACAACAAATTATAAGTTATTCATGAAATTACAAAAGGCGAAAATTATAAAAAAATTAAGCAGAATAAGCTTAGCAAATGTATAAATGAAATTAATCTAATAGCTATAAAAAATTAAGATGACTTACATCAAAACCAACATAGGTAAGTAAACGACTGATACTTTCACCTATGATTGTAGATCTTAAATGACCAACGTGCATCTCCTTAGCAATATTGGGTGAAGAAAAATCAACAATAACACGTCTTTTTTCTATTTTCGGTATATTAATACCCTGAAAACTTGAATGGAACATTATTTTGTATATTAGCTTTACCACGGCAATTTTTCGTAGACAAGTGATTACTTTTAAGGCAATATTTGCTATACATGCACTTATTGAATTCTTGCTCAAAAATACATTGACATAGCCTGGTCCAGCAATTTCCATCTGAAAATAATTAAGGATGTCGCGAATATACAACTGAAATTTCTCTCTAAAGATTTTTCAAAATCAAGTTCAACTTTATAACTTCATTTAATATACCTTCTCGATCCAATCACATTTCGATATGTTATCTATAATTTTTTGTGCGACTTCACGAGGAGATATTTTGTGACCGTTTACTTTCAATTTCTAAAATAAGCTATTAATAAATATTAAGGTGTTTCTGGTACTATAATTCACTAAAAATTTTCGAAAAAACAGAAATAAGTATTTTAAACCTGTGCAAGTGCCATAGATGAATTAAACTGATAATCACCAAAGTTTGCTAGTGTTGTTTCCGTTATCATGACAGGAACAGATGTCATTTCAGGATAGACCTGAAACTTTATTTATACATAAAAGTAGCAGAATAACAATATTAAAGTCATTTCAATGTTTTTCGAATACATTAAAACATATATCTAAAACAAATGAGACTTTTAACAAATACAAATTTCTTATGTTTTACCTTGATAATGCTTTCCTTGAATAAAGCTCGTAACATGCACAACAAAGAGCTACCAAAGTCTTTAACAATAATATGACTACGGTTTTTTGAATCCCTATGATAGTCCGGTTTACTGAAAAAAAAAAGCAAAAAATGCAGCGCAATTTAATCAGAGAAAGAGCAAAAAACAACCAATACTAAGCAATGTACAAGTATGAATAACTACGTTTTCAGAGTGAAAAACATATCTACCTATGTAATAAATGAAAAAACTCAGTCATATCTTTAAAAAATAGGAAACAGACAACAAAAATTAAGCTAAAAACTACTTCATATTAGATTCTTGACCACAATTCTTCGAGAGGCTCATCATTTCTTTTTCTACCGCCGGTCCCTCGCTCCTGCTTTCTTTAGTAGAGCACTTCTTATTTAATTGTTCCTGTTCAGCGATGCTCTGGAACCATGATTACTTAAATACGGTAACAGGAAGACAAATTTCCAGAATATTATGCATTTTACGAGTTTCAATTCTAATCCACTCTGATCTTTCCAGGATTTAACAATGTTTGCATATTACTAGAAGAACATTAGCAATTCATATCTTCGATAACTACTCCGTACTAAAGATAACTGACTAAATCACCCGGGAAAAAATCCTACAATACGATTATTTTACAAGCATTCACAAAAATTAAATAGAAATATCGAGAAGCAAACTGAATGAGAACTTACTGCTCGAAGAATCTGTGCCCTGTATCTGAGCTTTGTGTTTTCTTTCACAACTACTGATAATTCAGGGAATTGTTCCAGCAACTCATCGCATAGTTCTCCCCTATTCAAAAAATCTAGTAAACGGTAGTACGCTGCAAGCCTTCTTCTCTGAATGATTTCAAAAGTAATTATGATATCAGAATAAATCCTTTTTATGCACATGGACAACAAATTTGAATTCATTTTTTAATATTCACGACTGAACCAACTAACAAAAAATGATCTAGACTTATCAATTTCTTCACACCTTATTACTAAGCAGCTAAGCAAAGAGGCTGTTGAAAGATTTTAAGGTCATTACTTAAAATGCAAATACCGATGATTTTATTATTTTTGATAAAAGTCATCAGAAGTTTAAATAGCTGATACATAACCGCATACAATTATACCATATCATTGCGTATTTATGCGACCACAAAAAATGCAAAGAAAATTAACCGATTCCTCCAAATGTAGTTGGAAATACCGTAAATTACAAATTAAAGGAACATCAGTCAAATTTTCCATCATCGCAACACTTTTCTACGCAAATATTTTCTGAAAAGTAAATCATATGGACGAATTTCCATCTTTTCCAAAAGTTATCATGATATACATGCAACTTCGACAGTCCTTATATTCAATACTTTCACAAAATATAAGCCTTATTTACTTTAATCTGTTAAGAACATAAAATGTACGTATCCAAAAAAAATTGTTATAAAAATTTGAAATCGAAAGAATTATCCACCTTACTTCATGTAACAAGTTGTAGATAAAATAACCCCGATATCAGTGAAGAATACCGAATGTAAGATTTATATTGCAATCAAAAACAGCAAATTCCATACAATAATTGAAAAAAACAATATACAAAATTGTACAAGCAAATAATGAAAACGATAAAATTACCTATCATAAAAAATAAATTATTCTTCAAGAAAGTCCCATCTCTTAAATATTTAAAATCTACGTCTTCTTTGTTACGGTTTTATTTCCCGAAGTGCACAGATCGTTTTCATTTGTGCTCTTTCACAACATATCAAAATACAACTTTTTTCATTAACAAATATATATTTGAATCAAGTTCAAAACCATGCAAATTATTGGCATCGCCTTTTAGCCGCATTAACAGGCCACCAAAGGATGCATAAGCAGCTAAAGTATTTGTTTCCGAACTAATTTCTTCTCCTTCAATTCGATATACCTTACCAAACATGACATACTCAAACGGATCTAACCGCGGGTAATGAGTCTGAAAACTTTTATGTATTAGCACGGCGTTAAAACTTCATTCAGTAAAATTAATCTACTTAATTTTGTGAAAAAAAAATACTTTTCTAAAAGTATTCAATTAAAAAAAAACATACTTCACACAGCATCACACAAACAAAAGACTACATTGAGTTAGAAAAAATTTTAATAGTCTATTACTTGACTATCATATTCTCGCTCGTCTGGCAAACCATCATCACGCAGTGTAGTTGCTAACAACAACCTAAATTTATCGTTAAGGCTCATCGGATATCTGTAAATAAACTTTTAATAGCACTAAATTTCATACTAAGTTAGCCATCAATACTAACACAATTCGATAGCGATTCAATTCCGAGATTAAATAGTTAGCTTATTTTAGTGATTCAAACGTAACGAAAATAGTTTTGATTAAAAACAAATCATCACTTGATGCAAATATTTTACACGCCCTGTGACAAAGATAAAGTGCATATTTCACTACTGCTCAAACACAGAAAACAAACAAAAAATACTATGCGGAGTATCTTACTAAAGTTCCATCTACATATTTTTATATCTTGATATAATCAAAAATAATGAACTTAAGTACTTACAATTGCGTATTTACATCCAAAATGAGTTCCATTTTAAAAGATTCACTGTCACAAAACAGCCTTGACACACGATCGAACTTCTTTCCATCCGGATCAACATCTTTAACAAGGAACATATCATCAAATAATATACCTGTTGCCATGTTTCTGAAACTATCCACCATTAAGTGCAAACTTAAGCAACATATACATGCAGTACGAATAACAAATAAAAATTTTAAACGTTCTGTAGGACAGTGAAAAAACCAGTTTCTGAAAAAGTATCAAGGATAATTTATAGATGATTAATACTATTCATAAACTGTGGAAAGCGATACTCTTGCCCAAGATCCCATAGATAAACAAAAGAGTGGTATAATAACGATATAACTATCATTATTACTTTTTGACTCACTATACTATTTTTTTCCCAATAATTATTGAAGCAGTAACCTATGACTGTTATTTATGCTTGGAATAATTAAGATTTTATTACGGTATCAAAAAATACTTCATCGCACTCAAATTTATGCTACATTTAGGTCAATTATGATATATCATGATTATGATAAATCTAATTATGATAAATCACATTCGACAATAACTCCTTGGTAGTAGTGCAAGCTTTAGGAATACTCCAAGTTTCATTACCTCATTTACCTCGCTCACAAATGTATCGCAAAACGACTCAAAGAGCAGGTTTGGATTTGGTACGCGTAGCGTACATACGATGCTCACTATATAGAGGAAGCTAACAATTTAGGTAAAAGGAACTAACAATTTAAGAAGACTATACTTGGTTAGTTATCTGAATTTCCGTAATTTAATGTTACTTTTCTATGAATATCCCCCTCAAACTAAGTTATCGGAAATTAAAATACTAAATTTACCATCGAATTTCGGAATGAATGTGATCATAATCACCATTACTAGAAATTTGAAATAGCAAATAGAAATTAATATTTTTATAAATACAAAAAATATAATTAGAAATATAATCAAAATTATGATTTAAATAGTAATGTCTTAATTTTCAGAAATATGACTGTATTTCAAGTTGAGGAATGTTTAGAGTAGGGAATCTTAAGTAAGTGACGTCCCAAAATTCATAAGTTCATGCTCACAATTTTCAAATTTTCGACAGCATTACGTTGTTTAAAAATCTTTATTTCTTGTTTCCTCCTTTCATTTGAAGCAATTTTGTTTGAAATCCTTAATTTCGTCCATGAACTTCACTACAAATCTATACTTGCCTTTTCTTGATGAAATAATTCTGGTTTCGACAACATTTTCTGGACATAAATATTTGAAGTGTAGACTTGATTGTGCAAGATAAACTTGAATCTAACTAGTGCTGAATTTTCTGTCAATTCAAGTTACTACTTTTTAGTTATAACTATATCGTTTTTAAGCTTTTATTACGCAGTTCAGTATTGTAATTCGTAAAAGATTTTGTAAATATAATTCAGACTAATGGCGTTATGGGTTGATAAATATAGACCACGTGAGTTATCCGCATTAACCTATCATGTCGAACAAGCTAAAGATCTTATTCATATTGTCAAGGTAAGAAAGTTGTCTGCTTGTAAATTTGTAGAACCAGCTATTATGCTTACAAATAACTTTTTGATATTTTTGCATGATAAATCTATCTTTTATGTGACAAATAATAGTTTAGGATTAGTATTTTTGCTATCTCATTTAGGACATATTATTTTGCTTGCAAATTTAAGCTATTTATTGCAAGGAAATCCACTCTCAAAATCTCTCATCATTTCTTGCATTATCAGTGTAATGAATTGTAGAGATGAATATTTCTGGCATAACAGTTGTTCATTTCAGAATGGTGATTTTCCACATCTTCTTTTATATGGACCTAATGGAGCGGGAAAAATGACCAGGATTTTTTGTGTGCTACGAGAATTGTACGGTAGTGGTGTAGAAAAGCTACGAATGGATCCTCGAAGTTTCCAAGCACCATCTGGAAAAAAATTAGAGATTCAGACATTCAGCAGTAATTATCATGTACAACTAAGCCCTGGGTAATTTTCAAACTTGAATTTTGAGTATGAATCATTGATTGTAAGAAGATGAAATTTCGGATATCCAAAGTTGTATTTTGTCAGGCTTTTTAATCTTCTGTTCCCAGAGAAGTTGGAATGTATGATCGTGTTGTCGTACAGGAAATTATCAAGCAGATGGCACAGATGCATCAGATTGATACTGTTTCTCAAAGAAATTTTAAAGGTCAAAATAGAATATTCTAGTCTCCAGTAGTTGCATAAATTTAGCTAAAATGTTATTTTCTACTATATTTTAATCTCACTAGTAGGAAGCAAATATATTTTCAGACGCACATTGCTCACTTTTTAACACTGTTCTTCTTCGCGCTTTTTACTTGCATTACTCTTTTTGAAGTGGTATTTTCAGTAGCTGTTTTGATCGAAGCAGATCAGCTAACCAGAGATGCTCAAAATGCATTACGTCGTACAATGGAGAAATATGCACAGACATGTCGACTTATTTTGTGTTGCGAATCAATCAGTAAAATTATTGATCCTTTAAGGAGTCGCTGTTTATCAATACGTGTCGCTGCACCATCGGATGATGATGTATTTTGTTTATGAACAAGTGATTTTTAGGATGTAAAAGTAGAGTACTGAAAAATTATTTCTGAAATTCGCACTCTCAGATTAGTGAGTCTGGTGCTTTCTTTTGTGCTTAGTTTTATCTATTTTAGTATTATCGCTGTTTTTTTTTTGTGCCATGAATGAGATATCCTTTTTATTCTTTAGGTTAGCAAAGCGATCAGACATGTATGCAAACAGGAAAATCTTAATGTTCCGGACAACATTGTTGCAGCAGTTGTTCAGAAAGCAAATGGGAATATGCGACGAGCTTTGTTGATGATTGAAGCGGCAAAAGTTCAAAAGTATATTCTTTTTTTTAGTTATGTTTACTTTGATGAAAACAATTTTGCGAGACAAATTAAGTGAGAGAAATACTTTTCATTTCTTTTCCATGGTTTTGAAAACTGGTTTTTAGTTTTTTAGTTACTTCCTGCATATGTTTAAATTCGTATTCACCTTCAATTTCGTATTCACTTTCAATTTTAATATCTACGACTTTAATTGACACCTAAGACAAATACATTTTTCGAAGCACTCAAGTATTTTGTCGTTTACAGCTATCCATTTAAAAATGATCAAGAAATTCCTGATCCTGAATGGGAAGTATATGTTGCTGGTACTGCCAAAATGATGATGGAGCAGCAAAGTCCAGAAAGGTTCATTTTAGTATTTTTAAACGATTGAAATAATCTAGATATATTCAGTGTTCCACATTTTGAATTCTGTTTTCATAATCTTTTTTTTCAAGTCTTGTGAAAGTTCGCAATCGATTCTACGAATGTATTGGTCATTGTATACCTCCAAATATCATTTTTGTGGTATGTAGCTTCCTTTGATGTATGTAAGTACCGTTAGATTTTTTAAAATTAAATCTAATGATGTCCTAAATTTAAAATTCTGTAATATATTGTTACGATATTTTTTCAGAAACTAGTGATAGAGCTACTGAAAAGTTGTACTGATGAGATCAAAGGAAAGGTAATCTCAGAAGCTGCTAAATATGAACATCGTCTTCTGCGGGGTAGTAAAGCGATTTTTCATTTAGAAGGTTTTGCTGCATCATTCATGGAAATATATCACAATCATCAAAATGAAAATTCAATGGAGTATTGACGAAATGTTTTTTCAGCAATATTTTATTAAACACTATTGATTGCTATATTTTAACAGTGTTTGATTCTCTTTCTTGTGCTTCTTTATTTATTTTGTTTATATTTCAATGCCCTTCCTATTTTTCTTGTTTTCAGTTTTAAAGTTTGGAAAGTTTATGAAAAGATTTACCAGTAATAGCTGATGTCTTGCCACATCAGTTTATTTTAATTTATATTTTTGTGAGTAGTTATTCTGATTGCTTTATGAATGTGGCTCAGTGCAAGTGTTTGAAATGTTTGTATTATATGGGTCGAAATTTGTTTGTTCTTATTAATATTAGTTCTGTCAGAGATATTTTCCTCATTTTTATTCTTAATTGAAATTTGCATAGATGCACTTGGTCGTTTTTCTGCTACATAAGTTAATTGATGAAATGAAACGTGCAGTTGAAATTATCCATGTTTGAGGTTGATTGTTAAAGTTGATTAATTGAACATCTGATTCTATCTGCTTGTATGCGTTGAAGAATATTTATTAAATTTGTACCGAATTTCTGTTGCAATAAATTGCTGAAATCAAAGTTCACTTTTTCCGCGATTTGTTTCCCCACTTTTGATCGAAAATACTGCATTTGAATGCAGTGATTAAGTTTACTGTGATGGTCTAAATCTTGAAGCACATTGAAATTATTTGCCAGATACTGTATATTTCTTCTGTGGTCAAGAGGTTAGTGCTGAGAGTTTTTGGGAATTTTCAATTTGTGTCCCAAATTTTCTATTCGTAATATTCTTTTGTAAATAGGCCAGAGGAAATATATAATAGCGAGCAGTTGCAAATGCGCTCGTTGCTCTCTCTCTTCTGAAATAGATGGATAATAGGCTATTTCGTATGTAGAGAAATTCGTTATAATTCACTGCTCAGAAGCAAATTATAACGAAGTTAAGTAAGTAAGTGAGTAAAGAAGTTCAGTTTATTTTTCTTCGTATTATTTTTTTTTATCCAAAAATGTCTGGTTTGTTTTTTTGCTTTTTTTGCATTTAAAATTGTGTGAAAATGAGTGAGTGCATCTTTAGTTGTTAAATTTGCAATTTTAAAGTTAGAAGTTAATTTTTTCGAATGTTTAACAAAGATTGATTTTGACGTCAGACTGGTTAATTATTAGAAGGATAAGCACATTTCTAGAGAACTTTCTGCACAGCTGTTGGCCAGGCTTTGTTGTCACTGAGATAACTAACTATCATAATAAGAATATCTTCTCAGACTTGAACATTGATTTTTAGTCAGCATATTTATTTATTTATTATTATTACTATTGTTATTATTATTATTATTATTATTATGTATTGTTAATAGGTAGATAAATAAATAAAGTTTTGAATAGGAATTGAATGCATTTTTGCAGCTATTCATTCATTCATCATAACTGCAAGCAATTTTATGTGAACTTTTTTAAATAAAGTAACAGATGAAACGAAAACTAGTTTTCTGAGAGCTTTTACAAAGATCGATGGGATGTATTGATATCATAGTAATGTGTATTATATACAAGCATCGTTGTAGAGATGGAAACTGTACATTTAATGTATTCATCTCGCTTTAAACAAATAAATTCATTGTTGCAAATATCGAGATATCATTGGTATTCATTCATTCTATCTGCCATTTTACAGCAAAATTTAAACTGTATTTCATTTAGAATAAAGTTAATTTAAAAGTTCATGAATAATATATTTATATTAAAAATTATTTTTTTGTGCAGTAATAAAAGGACATATTTTTTAGTTGTAATATATTGAAGTGCATAGATTGTAAATGCAAGTATAAATAATGTACTGAGCAGAGAGAAGCACTACTGTTGATGCTATGGTACAAGTGAAGAAGTTATTAGTTGAGAAGTGAAGAAGAAGTGCTGTTTTATAATTTGATATTTTATTACTGCTAATACAAAGTTGAATTAATTATTGCTAGAAAGTGTAATTATGCGTACATACACTTAAGTGAGTTGAAGTAAGACAACTTTCTTGCTTAGAAAATATTAAATATGCAATTGGTAACTGAGGTAATATTTGAACTGTTATGAGTGATGCCTTTGAACTGCAAATAAATACTTCGTAGAAAGGCAAAGTTTGTGCAATATTTTATTTTTAAAATTGTACTGCTTCAGTGAATCACTGGTGGTTGTTTTTGCGCTTGTGATCAATCGGTAAGATAACATTTTACAGTATAAATTTTTATTTGCAATTTTTTATATTTATTAAAAAATGTATTTTATAAAAATGTTTTATTTTTATTTTTAACTGAATACAATCATTCATTCATTCATTCATTCATTCATTCATTCATTCATTCACTCAATCAGTCATTCATTCATTCATTTTGTTGAGAAATAATTTTTAAAAAAGTTAAAAAGTTTGCATCTACCAAAGTTATTGTCACCATTTGCTTTATTTTGCAATTCAAAACGATTAGCAAAATACTGATTACAGATTTTTTCACAAGCACTGTTAAATGTTTATTTAACTAAAATAAAAACATTATTTTCTATTTTTATTTTATGCATTTTTTTAATCCTTTTATTATTATTTTAGATTGGATAACTATTTATTTTAGTCGTTTTAATTAATTACCAGTTTTGAGTAATTATACGTGAAGAAAACAATTAATAATAATTAGTACAACGATTTAAAGGCAATATATTTTTATATTTTTGAAAGCAAAATATTTAAAACTAAAATTGTCTCCCAATTATTTTAATATCTATCAGGAAAGTTGTTTTTACATTTTTCTATTTCCTTTTTATATCTTTAACTCAGCGTTAGAATTTTTAGCTTTTACATTATTTTTAAATTAGTATTACGAAGTTTGAAAAAATTTTCATGTAAGTGTTTCAGCATCGTAGACGAGATTT